CTTCTGATTCTGGCCGTCTATCTATACTGATTCTTCTTGATCTTAGTGCCACTTTTGACACTATAGATCACTCTATTTTAATCACCCGTTTAGAGACTGTCTTTGGAGTTTCTGATTCTGCATTGAAGTGATTTAAGTCCTACCTTTCTGATCGCAAGCAGTTTGTTGTGATGGGTGGTTGCAGGTCTGAGATTGGTGTGGTGCACTCTGGTGTTCCCCAGGGATCAGTTTTGGGCCCTTTACTTTTTAGATTTACATTTTTCCACTTGGCCAACTTTTAAGAACAATTGGTCTTAACTTCCACTTTTATTCCGATGACATTTAGATATACATACATTCAAAACCTGATGTCAATATGCCCGTGTCTTTTCTTTCTCAATGTTTTACTGAGATTAAAAAATGGATGTCTGAAAATGTCACTGTCTAAACTGTGACAGAAGTGATGCTTATCGGTTCACCTCACCAGTTGCACAAAGCAGAATCCGTAACCTTAAGTGTGGATGGCTCTGCTTTACAGTTTCAAACTAAACAAAAAAAATCTGGGGATGATATTTGATGCCAACTTAACATTTGATCCGCATGTTCGTAATACAGTCAAAGCATCTATTTTTTCATCTCAGAGACATTGCCAAATTACGTCCCATGTTGACTTTTTCTGTGGCTGAAAAGTTAATCAACACTTTTGTTTTTCCGTGTATTGATTATTGTAATGTTTTGCTGGCTAGAGTTTCAAAAGCTACCCTAAGTAAATTACAGTTGGTACAAAATTCAACTGCTAGAATTCTGACTAGGACCAGTGCAAGGGAGCACATCACACCTATCTTGGAAAAATTGCACTAGCTTCCTGTTAGATTACGTATTGATTTTAAAATTCTCATGTTCACTTATAAGGCCTTGAATAATTTGGCTCCTCAATATTTGTCAGAGCTTTTAACCCCCTACACGTGTTCTACGCTCTTCTGAAGCTGGTCTTTTAAAGTGTCATGAAACCGCCCTGTTTCAACACTAGTATTTCACACCTTAGATCTGAAAAAGACTCCAGAAATGGGCGTGTAAAGCAGTGGAAAAGTGGGAGTGTAACATGTTAGAGGGTGAGAAAAGGGGTGAAAACCAGGGGCGTCATGCACTCATGATTTTTGAGGGGGCACGTGGCGGGAGGGGTGGTTGGGTCATGACACACATCAGCCACGATAGCACTGTATAACTGATATAGGCTTATGTTTTATTTTTTTTCCTTTTTATTAGAAGTATTTCCAAACGTGTTAACTATATCAGGGAATATCTCGATTCTCAAATATGTGTAAGTAAATGCATTTTGCACCTTTATAGATTGTTATTTGATCAATAAATGGTGATGGGCAAAGTAGACTAATAGTGTAATCTGTTAACTACACATAAAAACCAGACTTTTTACTTAAGTGCCAGATATGGGTGTCATGCCATAAAATATTTTTAATACGACTGACATTGTATTTAATGTGAATTTAATAACAATATTGTAAGTTACTAATTATAACAC